CTGCTCACAGACGTTCTCTTATGGCCAAGGTCCACTGAGGAGTTGGTAGCATTTAAAATCGGGCTTCGTCGAGGGAGCAGTGAACCCTCATTCTGAACATTATGCAGTTACTCCCTTTCTGGAAAACGGGAGAGACATTTCTCTTTAACATCTGCTGCCTCCCCATCATGTAGGGGCACACACTTTCTTAGTGATCAGTTTCGCTGATGCCAAGAGGCTGCTCACTTCAGAATAGATACCCTCTTAGCGTACAGAGAGAGCTACGTATCCCATCTTTACCTCATGTCTGGGAAATTTGGAGTTAAATTGAATGCCCTCGGCCGCAGCCTTTCACACTCAGGTTTCTGGCAGAATTTCCTGTCTCTCTTTTTATCCCCGCAGGAAATTGCTTTAATAATTGACTTGTGGGGGGACGGAGGCCAAAGTTTTCCTTGTGTAGAAGGGATGGTGTTTGTATACACCGTCTCCCGGTAAACCCTGCGGTAATTAACATCCTCCCGTTACTAGTCCAGAAACTGGCAGCAGTTCAAGAAGCCTGAGGTCTCCTAGTCCTTGGTGACAAGGTCAGGATTCCAACTCAGTTGCGGGGAGTGGGGCTCCCAAAAGCTAGTGTTTGCTTCCCTCTCATGGGCAGCCCCCTGAATCCAAACCAGGTCCCCATTTCCTGGTCTTAAAGGGCTACTTATAATGCACAGAAAGGTGGAAGTGGACTCTGGATAAATTGGAGGTGTGGCTGGGGACATGGGGGGAAGGGCACAGGCGAGAGAAAATGCTGAAGACCATGCAAAGAGGTCTTGGAATTGCAGGCTCTGGCCATCTGAAGTGTGTGGTCTGCCATGCAAAGGCCAAAAAGGGTCCTCCCCTTCCCCCAAGCTCCCCATTCCTCCCCACTCTTCCTCACTGTGTTGTGGCATCCAAGGCTGGGAGGGGCCCTGCTCTGTCTGCCTGATGGGAAACAGAGACGACATTGCAGCGGCTCGGAATTCATTCTGGGAGAAATCTTGAACACTCTTCCATCTGAGTCAGACTCAGATGTTTTTTTTTGTTTTTTTTTTTTAAAATAGGCTTATACCAACAGGCAACCTAAACAACATCAATCTTGAGGCGGCTAGACAAGCCAGAGGAAGCAGGCAGGGCGTGTGGTTCGGATTGCAAATAGTACTTACAGTGCTCATACTTCATTTCTGCAGGCGCTTGCTGCTTACAAAACACTTCTCTCCTGCGTGAGTGCTTCACAGCCTTTATCAACACTGTGTTAAGAATTTTATTTTTGGAGAAACCAAGATAGTGGCATAGATAAACACCTAAACGGTTGCTTTGCACAACAATTTCAAAACTACAACTAAAAGACAAAACAGACATCATCCAGAACCACAGGAAGGCTGGCTGAGTGGAAATTCTACTAGTAGAAGGAAAAAGAAAAGCATAGACTCACAGGCTGCAGAAGGCAGAGGTACTGAGGAACGCACCAGCATGCGGAGAGGGCTGGCAACTGAGTACGAGGCTGGCTTTCTCAATCGGAGGGAGACGAAGGCTCCCAATGGCTCTGAACTCCAGTTCCGAGTGAGTCTCTGGGGACCCAGACTCATCCGGGGAGAAACTGGACTGTCTGGAAGTGGGCGAAACTCAAGGGCAGCTTTCTCTCAGAGGTGCTTGCAGCGATTACCGTGGGACATTGAGACCTGGGGGGCCTATTAGGGCAGGACTGATGGGAAGCCATTGCTGTCTGCTTCATCCTGAGATTCCGGACCCCATCCAAACTGAGCACAGAGGCTTTTGCGAGTCTTGTCTCATAAGCGTGTCTCCAGCACAGAAGTTCTCCCAGCGTGGACACATAGCCAATTGATCTAGAGGTCAATTCCTCCCAGTGATACCAACAACAATCAAGGCTTACTTACAAAAAGACTGTGCACACAGCCCACAAAGGGGTGCATCAAGAATGTCCACCTCAAGTAACTCGGGAGGCTGAGCCACTGGGCCCTATAGGGCACCTAGCACACAAAGCCACCCTATCAACTCAGGGAAGCAGCCAAAATGTTGAGACAAAAAAACAGGTCACAAATGAAAAAAATTGGAGGAAGGCAAACTATTGGATATAGAGTTCAAAACCATGGTTATAAGGTTTTTCAAGAATTTAATAAAAAGGCCAATAAATTTAGTGAGACCCTCTAGGATATGAAAAAAGAAATCAAGCATACACTGACTGAAATAAAAAATAACATACAGAGAACCAACAGCAGACTAGAGGATCGCAAGAATCAAGTCAAAGATTTGAAATACAAAGAAGCAAAAAACACCCAACCAGCAAATAAAAAAGAAAAAATAATCCAAAAATATGAAGATAGTGTAAGGAGCCTCTGGGACAACTTCACACATACCAACATCCAAATATGGGGGTGCCAGAAGAAGAGAGAGAGCAAGATACTGAAAACATATTTGAAGAAATCATGACAGAAAACTTCCCCCCACCTGGTGAAAGAAATAGACTTACAAGTCCAGGAAGCTCAGAGAACCCCAAACAAAAGGAATCCAAAGAGGACCACATCAAGACATATCAAAATTAAAATGCTAAGAGCAAAAGAAAAAGAATCTTAAAAGCAGCAAGAGAAAAACAGTTAGTTACCTTCAAGGGAGCACCCATAGGACTGTCAGCTGATTTCTCAACAGAAACTATGCAGGCCAGATGGGAGTGTCAAGAAATATTCAAAGTGATGAATAGCAAGAACCTACAACCAAGATTACTCTACCCAGCAGAGCTATCATTCAGAATTAAAGTCAGATAAAGAGCTTCAGAGATAAGAAAAAGCTAAAAGAGTTCATCACCACCAAACTAGAATTATATGAAATGCTGAAAGGTATTCTTTAAGAAGAGGAAGAAGGAAAAGGAAAAGATAAAAATTATGAACAACAAATACATATCTATCAATAAGTGAATCTAAAAATCAAGTGAATAAAAAATCCAAGCAACAGAATAAACTGATGAATATAATAGAATCAGGGGCATAGAAATTGAGTGGACTGACAATTCTCAGGAGGAAAGGGGTGTGGGGGAAGCTGGAAGAGACTGGACAAAAATTGTATACCTATGGATGAGGACGGAAGGGGGGGTGGTAAGGGTAGAGGGTGGGGAGGGAACCAGGTAGAGGGGAGCTATGGGGGAAAAAGAGGAACAATTGTAATAATCTGAACAATAAACATTTATTTTAAAAAAGAAAATTTTATTTTTTATTTAAGGAAGTTGAGGCTCTGTTTGCACCCCTAAAATGAGGGGTAGATCTGGAACTTGGACTAAAATCTTTTAATCGTTTTATTCTTCATGGTCTAGTTAATGAAGTATGTTCTGTCTGGGGTAGGAAGAGAGGGAGCAGATCAGTTCCCTTTCCTGAAAGGTCAAAAGGGCTTCAGCTTGCTGGTTGTCAGCTGGAAGTGGAGGATTGGTTTCTCCTTTGGGCACATGTGGCCCTTGGGCAGATGTGGCCACTCCTTATTGCACCTCTGAACACAGAGTATGTCCGAATTTGAACTGTGTGTGCACAGTTCTACCCAGAGAGTTCAAGGTCATCCCTTGGTGCCTCTGAAGGGCTAATGAGTCCAGGGCAGATAGAATGACCTGATATGATTTGTTTCTTGACATTGGGTCTAAACACTGTGTTTGTAGAGATTATAAATGATTTGGGATTATATGCTGGTGTGAGTCCTGATATTGAGTTGACCTGGGCCTTCCTATGCACCTGGGGGTGGGGGATGAGACTGCAGAGGCCAAGCCTCCCAGGCAATGGCTTTCCTTGGTTCTTTCCTCTGAATTAAGTACCTTTCCTCTGAATTAAGTCTCCTTTCCTCTGTCCATTGAGTCTCTTATTGTAAAACCAAAAATGAATTTCTTTTTCTTGTTTGTAGCTGGTGAACAAGTCTAGTAGTGTTTTTTTCCTTGCTTTCTTTTTTCCCCCTCTTGATGGGGATAAAATTTGGAATCTGTCTTCCTATATTTACATATATAATCTCTGATGATGATGACTTACGTCTGCAGTGTTCCAAAACTTCAAATATGCCCAAGAACTAAATACTATTAGTAGTCCGCCATGACGAAGTGACGGCATGAGCTAAAGTCAAACCTAAGAACTAAATATTATTGTCTAACAAATACCTAGAGGCGTAGAAATAGGTGACTTGGCACAAGCATGGGGGTGTTTTAAGTGCTGTCATTGTGTCCCCACTCTCCATTGCCCTGTAATCGCTCTCTTCCCACATTACTCTTGTCCGTACCTTTCTGCTAATTTCATCCCCATTTTCTATTTCACATACACCTTTATAGTGCCCTCCTGCCACATTCCCACCTTAGCTGGTCCTTTCTGTGAAGTTGGTGTGTGGTTGGTGAGTTATTCTCACCCAATTCATGTCCACGGAATTGTCTGGTTCACTGTCCACCAGTTACCCAAGTGTCCTTTTTGCTGAGAAAACAGAACATCACTAAGAAGATGGTTGTTAAAGACTTTTCTTAAAAATGCTAAGCCAACCCCTAGCTGAGTTGGCTTAGTGGATAGAACATCGGCCTGTAGACTGAAAGGTCCCGGGTTCGATTCCCGTCAAGGGCATGTACCGCAGTTGCAGGTTCTTCCCTAGTCCCGGGCCCTTGTCGGGGCTCGTGCAGGAGGCAAGCACCGATGTGTTTCTCTCATGTCGATATTTCTCTCTGTCTTTCCGTCTCTCTTCCACTCTCTCTAAAAATCAATGGAAAAATACCCTTGGGTGAAGATTTACGTAAAAGAAAAAAAATGCTGAGCCAAGTGTTTGGACAAAGAACCCAGCGCTTTATCCTTGGCACTCATATTTCTTTCTGTTGCTCTACTTCCAAGAAAAAATATTTCTTCAGAGGCGCACAATCTCTGGAGAAAAGCAAGCGGTGGCCAGCTGTGAAAGTGAAATCCATCCCTTCAGCCGCCCCCCAATGCCCCCCAGTGTATTAATGACCTCTAACATGCACGACCTCTCCGTTGGCACAGGTGACAAGACTACCTTCCAGCTGCAGGTGCGGCAGGTGGAGGACTATCCTGTGGACTTGTACTACCTGATGGACCTCTCCCTGTCCATGAAGGATGATTTGGACAACATCCGGACCCTGGGCACCAAGCTCGCTGAGGAGATGAGGAAGCTCACCAGCAACTTCCGCCTGGGGTTCGGGTCTTTTGTGGACAAAAGCATCTCTCCTTTCTCCTACACAGCGCCGAGGTACCAGACCAACCCATGCATCGGGTAAGTGACCAGCTTCCCTTCTGTTGGGCATTTAAGGGGTGGGGGAATGGAGTAATGGGAGAACTTAACCCAAAGGAAGGACTCAGGGGGACATACTTAGGAGGGGAACCTTTGATTAACGATGACCCAGTTCTGTCCTCTCCCTCTGGGTGAACAAATGAACTGTCACAACGTTATGTCAAGCTGCAGTGATCGTAGTTCATCTGTTTCCCTGCCTACCTGGCATGGGACTCCTTGCTACCTTAATAGATTTTGGAGAATGTTCTCAGGAAGGGACAGACCCAGGTGATCAGGGAGGGAGCAAACAGAACCGCCTAAACGTTCCCCTTGTTTGGAGTGACTGAGGTGCTTGGGATCAGTGAATTCAAAGTCTATCGATCGTTTGTAAAAAACTACAACTTAACCATGATAAAACAAAATGAAATCCTGCGTTTTAAAGGTCTGATTTTCCCCCCCAACATAAGTACTTGAATTAGAAAATGTTTGACATGTTTTTAGAGAACAGGAGTTTCTAACTCCTGCAAGAAACAGATCCAAAGTATAGAATGGCTCCAACCTGCTGGCGGGTTATTCCTGCTCCCAAGTGCATGTGGGTCTCCTGACCAGTGGGCACCTCTCCTCCAAGCACGTCTCAGGGCCAGGCCGCCACCATCTCCCTCCTGTGGCTTCTAAGCTCATCTTGCCCGGAGATTGCTCATAGGAGGGAGGACTTTACAGGCCAGGAGGCGTGGCTTTTGCCTCTTCTGCTCCCACGTTCTAGTCTAAAGAACTGGGTTCTAGCAAGGAGGCTGGAGACCGAGGAAGCTAAGGAAGGGGGACTGGTGAGCAGGTCTCTGCCCTGGGGAATATGTGTGGGGGGTGGAGGGGTCATATCCCCAACTCTCCTAACTACCTCGAGGGGGCTGGTTTGCTTCTTTTCTAGTCTTTTAAGTGTTCCTTTAAATGTAATGTGACTACAATGTTTGATGACTCCTAACTTTTTCGCCTCCTCTCCATATTCAACTTTATTTAGTCATGTTCCTGGATAAGGAATAGCTAAGTTTTAAGTTCTTATCAAGTGTCAAACACCATCATACTAAATACTTTACATGGATTATTTTGTTTAATCTCATGATGTTTTGAGGTCTTTAAGGTAGATGTGTGCCATATCTTTTTAAAAAAATATATTTTTATTGATTTCAGAAAGGGACAGGGAGAGATAAAAACATCAACGATGAGAATCATTGGTGGGCTGCCTCCTGCATGCCCCCTACTGGGGATCAAGCCTGCAACCCTAGGGTATGTACCCTTGACCGGAATTGAACCTGGGACCTTTCAGTCTGATTAATGCTCTGTCCACTGAGCCAAACCAGCTATGACGTGTGCCATATTTTAAAGATGAGAACAGCTGAAACCGGTTTGGCTCAGTGGTAGAGTGTTGGTCTGCTGACTGAAAGGTCCCAGGTTCGATTCCGGTCAAGGGCATGTACGTTGGTTGCGGGCACATCCCCGGTGGGGGTGGGGGGGTGCAAGAGGCAGCTGGTCGGTGTTTCTCTCTCATCGACATTTCTAGCTCTCTATCTCTCTCCCTTTCTCTCTGTAAAAAATTAATAAAAATATATTTTAAAAATAAATAAATAAATAAATAAATAAATAAATAAAGATGAGAACAGTGAGACGTAGAGAGAATAAATAATTTGCCTGAGATTACACAAATAATAAGGGGTAGACTTGTATTTCCCCCCCATCCAAATCATACTACAACACACAAACTTTACCTGCATGTAAGTAATCATACTCATTCCAAAACCGCCCGCCCTCTGATGTGTGCCTAAGGGTTGTGTTGGGTTCTGCTGCAATAACAAACAAACCACGGGGCTCAGTGGCTCAACCCAGTGAAAGTTTATATGTCTTGCTGGTACAGCATCTGATGAGGATTGAACTGCTTTTCATGGCAGCTTTCCCTCCCGCGGTGGCTCAGGGAGCCAGGCTCTTGCCATGTGTGAGGTCATTTTTTGATTCTTGATCTCCTTGGCTGCTGCCCTAGGAGCAGAGAGCTGTTGTAGCACCCTGAGCCTTTCCAGCATCTCGCTCCTCATTGGCAGCCTCGGCCGCTCCCAGCTCTGGGTTGGGCTGGTGGTTGGGCTGAGGTGGTATGTATGCTGGTGGTGTATGTTCTTCTGAATCCTTCCTGATTCTTCTGTCCAGGCTCCTGCAAGTGAGCGTAGATCTTCCCCAAGGGTTGGGAGTGGACACAGTGGTGGAAAAAACACTCAAGAGAAGAAGAAGCTTTATATGCACATGAGATTGAGTTCCTTAACCAGGAAGCAGCACAGGGTGTCATCATTTGCTGGGTGTAACTGCCTCCTGGCTGCTGGTGGCTTTGGGCATTATGACGTTGGTCCTGTCTCAAAGGCCCTTTGTAGTTGAGTCCCAGTGCCACGTGTTCTATCACTGGCATTCTGCTGCTGACCAGGGTCACCAGCATCTTAATCAAAACTTTTTTCAATTCATCCGGATTAGTGATTCTATCTGCTTTTCCTCTCTGCCCTCTGATTGGGCCCTGTCTCCAGATAGACAAAGGTGTGTCTCCCCTTTCATCCTCCTGTAGAGCACCCACGATCTGTGAGTTGCTAGCCTGGAAGCTGGCAGAGGATGAAGGGCTGGCTCTGGGCACCCTGCATTTGAATTCAGGTTATTACACACGATTTATTCACAGCCCCTTCCTAAGCCCTAGAAGGCAGAGCCAACTGCAGACAGTAAAGGTCTTGACAGTGAGTGCAAGGCCCACTGAAAAGCTGCTTGTCAGGCAGGAAATCTAGGGAAGAATGGGAGCTGTGAAGGAAACGTCACATCTCAGTTATGCAAATCTATCTTTTGCAAGCTGGGCCGTGCACCGGGGAGTCACTGCTTGGCTCAGGGAGCTGGCTGAGGCTTCTCTCCGTGGTTTAGCGGTGGGCGTGTGCTGTGTCCTGGGAGATGGCCCACTGCTCCGAGGACGTATGTAATCTGTTCACGGGCCTCATCCGGCCTCTACATGGGCTTTGTCTGCCTTTCTGAATTTTAATGGCTCTGCGAACCAGTTACCAATATTTAGAAAGTAGATTTAACCACAAATAACCAGGATTCCTAGATTTTCTTGAAAGACTGGAAGGTCTAATAAAGCTGGACTGATTCCACTTAAGATTTGGCTGCCACAGTCCCCACCACTCCCTCTTGTCTCACAGCTGGCCTGCGTCACTGGTTTCTGTTAAAACGCCTGGCTGGCAGACATTGTGATTCTTGTCTGTTCTTTTTCTTCAGCAAATGTGGAGAGAGAAATCACAGCGTTCTTCTCAAGATGCAATGGCATCTTCAGTTAGGGTGTTCTTCCCTGGGGTGGTGAGAGCAGCAGAAGCAGCCCCCAGGAAGTTTTGGGGCCTGAGGTGGTGGGAAGGCAGGGAGTCAGGAGAGGTGACTTAGTCACCTGTGCAGAATATCTCAGCAAAGAGAGAGGCAGTTCTTCATGGGGCTTTCCTGAGGTTTGTTCCTTCTCCTTCTGCTCCAGATATTTCTGCCAAAGAATCACAATCCTAGACTCATTCCTTCCCATCTTAGAGTGCCCGAGAAAGACCGGACTAAAGTGAGCAGTACCAGGTTTGCGACAGGAGAAAGAAAAATGTAGTATAGCCGAAACCAGTTTGGGTCAGTGGATAGAGCGTCAGTCTGTGGGCTGAAAGGTTCCAGGTTTGATTCCGGTCAAGGGCATGTACGTTGGTTGCGGGCACATCCCCAGTAGGGGGTGTGCAGGAGGCAGCTAGTCCATGTTTGTCTCTCATCGACATTTCTAGCTCTCTATCCCTCTCCCTTCCTCTCTGGAAAATCAATAAAATACCACAAAAAAAAAACACAAAAAACAGCCCGGACTGGTTTGGCTCAATGGATAGAGCGTCAGCTTGGGGACTGAAGGGTCCCGGGTTCGATTCCGGTCAAGGGCATGTACCCTGGTTGCGGGCATATCCCCAGTGGGGGGTGTGCAAGAGGCAGCTGATCGATGACTCTCATCGATGTTTCTGGCTTTCTATCTCTCTCCCTTCCTCTCTGTACAAAATCAATAAAATATATATTTTTTTTAAAAAACAAAAAAAACAAAAACAAAAAACAAACCCAAACCAACAAAACAAAACAAAAATTGAACACTACTATTCAATAGCAATAAGATTAAAGAATAATTAAAAAAAAAAAAAAAAAAAGAAAGAAAGAAAGAAAAGAAAGATGTAGAGCAGCCCTGGCTGGTGGCTCAGTTGGTTGGTGTGTCATCCCGTACACTAAAAGTGGTGGGTTCGGTCTCCTGTTGGGCACATATGGGAGGCAACCAATCAATGTTTCTCTCTCTCTTCCCCCCTTTCTCCCTTCCTCTCTCTCTAACATCAATTTAATCCTCAGATGAGGATTAAAGAAAAGATGTAGTGTAATTTAATCATTAGATTGAAGAACTGTAGTTGCTATTCTGAGTCATAGGAATAGTCTGACTGGGAAGAGACACAGGAGAGTCACTGATTTGAAGGATTAACCCAACTGCTGTTTCTGGTTCTGAACACTTTTCCTTTCATTAGAGGTATTGGGCTCTTCTTTAATTACATGTCATATCTCATCTGTACGTGCAATCTAAAAAAGCCAAACTCGCCCTGGCCAGGTAGCTCAGTTGGTTAGAGTGTTATCCTGATATGCCAAGGTTGTGGGTTCAGTCTCTGGTCAGGGCACATACAAGAATCAACCAGTGATTGAATTCATCAATATTTTTTTTCTCTCTCTCTTCCCTTCCTTTCCCTTCCCTTTTCTTCCCTTTCCTTCCTTCCTCACTTCCTCCCTCCGTCTCCCTCTTCCCCCTTTCTCGCCCACTCTCCTTCCTCCTCCATTACTCCCTCCCTTCCTCCACTACTAATCAATCAATGAAAAATTTCATTTGTTAAAAAAATTAAAATTAAAATTTTAAAAAAGCCGAACTCATAGAAACAGCGAGGAGAGTGGTGGTTCCCAGAGGCTGGGAGGTGGAGAGGAGGAAACGGAGAGACGTTGGTCCTAGGGTACCAGCTTCTGGTTGTAAGATGAATATGTTCTGGGGACCTAATGTACAACATTGGATTGATAGTCAACAACAAGATACTTGAAATTATACTCGTATAGTTGGAAGTTGTTAAGAGAGATCTTAAATGTTCTCACCATTCTTACAAATAATGGAAATACTTGGTCTGCCTGTTTAATCAAGAATACATCCTTATTCTTGAAAATTCTCAGACATTATCTCTTCGATTCATCTCTCCTGTTCTGTTCACTTGCTTTTAATATCATCACGTGTGTCAGAGCTTCTCATTCTAAACTTTGTGTTTTTAAATTTTTCTCCTGTAATTTCTACTTCTTTTTTAAAAAAATATATTTTATTGATTTATCACAGAGAAGAAGAGAGAAACATCGATGAGAGAGAATCATCAATCAGCTGCCTCTTGCACACCCCCTGTGCCCACAACCAAGGTACATGCCCTTGACCGGAATTGAACCTGGGACCTTTCAGTCCGCAGGCCAACACTCTATCTACTGAGCCAAACCGGTTTCGGCCTACCTCTTTTTTTAATTGTTCTACCCTAAACTGCTGAAGAAATGTCTTCCAGTTTGTCACTTTGTTCTTCAGTTGCCTAATTTGTACACTGAAGTTTCATTTTGGAATTCTGGTGACTATATTTTTAATTTGATTCTTTTTCAGACTATTTTTTCATATTATTTTTTCACAGCCTCTGACTCTCTTCCCTCCCCCTAATAATACCCTGTTCTGGAATAGCCTTGCTTTAAAGGATGTTCTATCATTTCTGCCTCTGGAATGGCAGCCCTCTCAGGTGGTTGAGTTTGCTGGCCTCCCTCATGGTGGTTTGTTTCTCACGGGTCTGCACCTGTGCCTTAGCTCCTCCTCACCAGAGCGCCACATGCTCCAGATGTGCTGGCCGCCCTGTAGGGCGACTTTATGTTTGCTGCTGCCAGGACCCTCCAGCTGCCCTGGGACTAGTCTTCCCGTTCATTTCTTAGCTGGGGAGTTCTTTCACAGTAAAAGAAGTGAATTCTGACTTGCTGGACCTGGACTTGTAATTTTATTGGGTGACTCATCTCACTCTTGGCCCAGAGTGGATGTTCCCTCTTTCCCAGGCCAGTGGCTGGAATTTTTCTGTTTTTGATTTTAGTGACAGGTCGGACACTTAGCATATTAGCTTGTATATATAGAGATGCTCTCCATGCTCTTTAAGCATATGTATTTTATTTGTCTTCCTGGTTCATAACCCTTAATTTAGTAACCACCACCAAGTCTCCCCTATCCCCACATGGCCCTACCTGGAATCTGTGGTGCAGACACAGGGCAGAGGTGGAAGGATTTCCTGGCATGAGACCCCCAAACACTAGATCTAAAGGTCACTCAGCTCTTCCAAGGGTTAGATTAGCCACAGGTGATATTGTATTCCAGCGATATTCAGCAAGGTCTGTCCTTCTCCACCTAAGCTGTTTTTTAGAGGTGACCAATCTGGTTGAAGTCAATTCTTTGTAAAGAAGGCTTCTCACTGGCCAGCTGATTTTCCAGTTCCTAATTACTTAGTAGTAATTCTCAGCAGTAAAAATTTATCTACGATGGACCCTTGAACAACACAGGTTTGAACTGCATGTGCAAGTCTACTTATATGCAGACTTTTTTCTTTTTTTCTTTTTTTAAAAATATATTTTTATTGATTTTGTACAGAGAGGAAGGGAGAGAGAGAGAGAGTTAGAAACATCGATGAGAGAGAGAGTCATCGATCAACTGCCTCTTGCATACCCCCTACTGGGGATATGCCCGCAACCAAGGTACATGCCCTTGACCGGAATCGAACCCAGGACCCTTCAGTCCCCAAGCCGATGCTCTATCCATTGATCCAGCTTAGGCTGTCAAGGGCAGGTGGAAAGCTTGGCTTCCACTGTTGCTTAGTGTGATGGTTAATTTGCATATTACTCTTTTATTAGACAGGACTCTTACAATAAAGAAAGCTAGGAAAAATAAAAATGTTATTAATAAAACCCTAAAGGAGAGAAAATACTTACAATATTGCACATTTATTGAAAAAAGTCTGCATATGCCGAGAGTAATATGCAAATTAACCATCACACTACACCCACCAGCCAATCAGAGCAAGTATGCAAATTTACCCAATCAAGATGGCTATAGCCACAGAGAGCAGGAGAGAGGCTTGGGTTTCCTAAGCAACAGTGGAAGCCAAGCTTTCCACCTGCCCTTGACAGCCTAAGCCTTCACTCAAGGCTACAAAGTTTCAATTATAGAAGGTAAACAAATCCAAATAGAAATGGCTACTGCCACGGAGCAAGCAGAAGACTTGGCTCCGCTCCAGGCTACAAAGTTTCAGTTGTGGAAGGTAAATAAGTTCCAGATACCAGGGCCTCCACTTGCGTCGCCAGGGTGTGTGGCTGGCCTGAAAACCACCACAGGCCCCTCGCTCAGGCCGCCCTATGCCCCAAGGGAACCCCCACCCTAATCCGGGATACCCTACAGTACAAACCAGCTGGTCCCCACCCATGCACCAGGCCTCTACCCTATCTAATAAAAGAGTCATATGCAGATTGACCATCACTCCAACACATGTGGTCAAAGATAACTGCTCTTATGTGGACATAAGATGGCCACCACAAGCTGGCCAGCAGGGGAGGGCAGTTGAGAGGAACCAGGCCTGCAAGGAAGGGCAGTTGGAGGCGATCAACTTTGCAGGGGAGGGCAGTTAGAGGTGACCAGGCGGCAGAGGAGGGAAGTTGGGGGCGAACAGGCTGGCAGGGGAGCAGTTAGACATCAATTAGGCTGGCATGGGAGTGGTTAGGGGGTGATCAGTTTGGCAGGCAGAAGTGGTTAGGGGCAATCAGGAAGGCAGGCAGGCGAGCAGTTGGGAGCCAGCAGTCCTGGAATTGTGAGAGGGGTCCCAGATTGGAGAGGGTGCAGGCTGGGCTGAGGGACACCCCTTGCTCCCGTGCATGAATTTTGTGCACCGGGCCTCTAGTACAGTATATAATACAAAACACACAAAGTCAGTGTTAAAAGACTGTGTATGTTATCCTCAAAGCTTCTGACCAACAGTAGACTATTAGTAGTTAAGTTTTGGGGGAATCAAAAATCATATGTGGATTTTCACCTGCATGGGGTGTTAGTGTCCCTAACACTCCCCAACTTCCCCCTCCCCCCCTATTGTTCAAGGGCCAACTGTACTTAATTGCTGTTTTCAGGGATGAAAGAGAAAAGGTAAAAAAAATGCTGAGCCAATTTCACTGAGCTAGTCACAGCTCTTCTGGTTTTCTCATTGAACGGCTGTTATTATTGTGCGCCTCTCCTCCCTTTCCTTAGCTAACCTGATTAACTGTGACAGTCAGCACATACCTGACTGCCTAAATCATGGACCAGCACGACACAGGAGGGAGTAGCTGCTGAGGGAAGGGGGAGTTTGTTTGTACTTCCTCTTAGGCCTGTCCATGTGTCGGATGACCCCAGAGGAGACCTCAGCTCGTTCCTTTTTCCAGATGGCAATGCAATTTCTACGACCCTTCTCTTTCTGGAAAAATGAGACAGCGATGAAAAGTTTGGGTGGCCCCAGGCACGGGTGAGAGGAATCTGACCTGTCCAAGCACAAGGTGCAGGTGAAGATTTGGGGGTAGGAGGAAGGAGTGAACAAACAGGACAGCAGATGGGGAAACGTCTAGCTGCTGCCCATCTGGAGAGAGCCTTGGCTGCTGTGCCGGTGGGATTGACTGTCCAGAGCCGGCGAGTTGCTAGTGCCTGGCGGACGGAGCAGGCACTGTAGGTCCCAGGAGAGTGCAGTAGCCTCTCAGGGAGCCAGAGGTGGCCTCTGCAGGAGGAGGGAGCCTGTGCAGACCTGCCCTGGCCGCCGCCTCTTGGCCACAGGGAGGCACAATCTCTAGGAATTGCCAAGCCTGTTTCCTTTCCTGGGCACAGGGCTGGCATTGGAGCACAGGACTTTCCCACAGGCCTCGGTTAGTGTTTATTTTTCATCTTTTGTTCTGAAACGAAAGCTTCCTTAACATGTCCACAGATCTGCAGTCTGGTCCAGCCTGCCTTCCCCGCCTCCTCTTCGCCCATCCTTTCCCTCACTCTCTGCACTGCAGCCCCGCTGGCCTCCCTATTTCATCGGCTGAAACACCTGAAACTACAACTGGGATCCAACTTCCTCCTAACATGGGCCGCTGGGGATCCCTCCTGCACCTCACCATGCGATTGCCCAGTGTTTCATTAATATGGTGCATTAACCTGTTATCGAGATGTGGCACTTCCCTCTTTCCAAACATCTAGATACCGTTTTCCATTGGGAGAAGGTTGATTTCTAAATGATATGTATTGCATCTAGGAGAGCCGATAGCTGAGTGTTGCGATATTTATGAATGAATGAAGAAGCAGAAAGAACATCTTCGTTCCTGTTGCCTTTAACACTGGCTCAGGTGCCAGCATGTCCTGTGGCCTCTGAGGGGGCTGACGTGAAGGGGTTATGTGATCCTTTGCCGCATGACAGCAGCCGAGTAGGAAAGCTGGTTTCACAGAGTAGCTGCCCACGTTACCTTCCCTCGACATTGCCCCGGCCCTGAACCTCCAGCACCCAAACCCCTGGCCCCACTCTCTGAGTCTTCCTCTGAGCCCAGCAGCCTGGTGTGACCGCTGCTTCCTCTCGCCCACGCGTCCTTTTCATTCACTCACAACCTGGTATCTGCTGTCTTGCCTGCCGTGTAGAGCTCGATGTTTGGAGAGTCGAGACTATTTCTCTTTATTCTTCTCTCCACGGTGCCGGACCCCGGGACACACAGTAGGTGCCGGGTGAAAATTTAAGCGTAGTGGGCTGTTTAAGATCCAGAGACCGTGATGGAAGAGTGACTCCTTTCCTCTTTCTCTCTAGCTACAAGTTATTCCCAAACTGCGTCCCTTCCTTTGGGTTCCGCCACCTGCTGCCTCTCACGGACAGAGTGGACAGCTTCAACGAGGAAGTTCGGAAACAGAGGGTGTCCCGGAATCGCGACGCCCCCGAGGGCGGCTTCGACGCCATACTCCAGGCCGCGGTCTGCAAGGTAACGCTCCTCTCCGTCCTGGCCCTGCGTGGGAGGCCCGGGAAGAGAGCGTCAGGGTGGGCGTGGACACTGCCTGCAGCACAGGGCCGACTCTGAGCCGCCCCAGCATGTGGCTTCCATGTCAGAGGGTGAGCTCGGTGGGCCCTGGGAAAGCTATCGCCGCCAGCGGGACCGGAGCTCAGGGATGGATCCGGCTGGCGTGTATCTCTCTGTGTGTCGGGGTGTGGCTGTAGCAATGGGATGCTGTCGGTGCCAGGAGACAGCTGTTGTGTGTTTATACATTTGGCTTTTAGCATCTCTTCAGGGGGAAAAAAAAAAATCTAAAGGTCCAGCCAAATGCATGGAAGCTTATCGAGCTTCCTGGCCCGATTTTGGTAAACCTTAAATGTGGTGGAGGATCTAGCTGGAGGGGAGAACTGCGTGTCATCGCTGGTTGCATTTCTGTTTGTTTGTTTTCCTCCTGCTCCTCTGTGAGCCATGAATTCAGAGGGAAGGCGTAGACTTAGGTCAAAAATGAACTCACGCTTTGAGGGTTCCAGTCCCAGCAGAATATATCATTGGAATGCTGGTAATGACTTCTTCTTAAAATAATGGCCTGCTGTCAAAACAAGCCGGTGACAACAACAACAAAGCATAAAAAATCACTCTTGAATTTGCTATCCCAATGCATACTTTTTGAAAATTTTCCATAGTGGTCATCACAAAGCACATGCAATTGGCAAAGCTTCCTCGAAGCGTGAGGCGGGCTCGGCAGTGGGGCGGGGGGGTGGGGGTTCGGGACTGCGGTGTGGGGAGGGCCGGGGAAGGAGGCTGGGACTCTGTCTGGAGAAGCTGTATCAGCGGCCGCTGTTCCTTCACTAGGCGATAAGCACTTCACTGGCCACTCACGCTCTGATCCTCGAGGGTCTGTGCCCAGTGTGGTTCGCTCTGTTCCCCTCCACTCGCTCCGTCAGGGTGACCAGAGAGCCCGTTTCCTTTCTGAAACAAGAAACCGAAACAATCGGCCAAGACGGTGCAGGGGAAGGAACAACGTGAAGAAGGTCCTCTTCTCGGTCCCACAGCTGGTCACGCGCCGCGTCCAGGCCCCCTGGAGAGGAGGGCTTCCCACAGGCCCCTTCCCAGCTGCTGGCCGCGCCAGAGGGTTTGACTCAGAGGTCCCCGGTGCTTTGTAGCCTTCCGAGAAAGTGAGATGGGACACAGCTACAGCGTGCTCAGCTCTGAATCTCTCGAATGCATCACAGAATAGACAGGGTCTACGTTCGCTTCAGAAAGGAAAATGGTATTTTTGACGGGCATGCATCGATGGTACGAGGCGTTGTCTTCAGAGACATGCTGCCAAATCCACTCCTTGGCAGGGACGAGCAGTGCAGGGGAAACATAGGTTGCCTCTGTCTTCCCGTCTTGAGATTTTGTTCATTTGGAGGTGGGGCAGGAGGAGGGGGGAAAATCACCTTTAAGGCTTTGGAAAGAACCCAGCGACAGGCCTAAGCAATGGCCAGTGGTATGACTCGGTTTAATTCTCTTCCTGGGAAGGGCATGACGATGCTTACAGCAGAGGCGTGCAGCTCCGTGCCCATGCCGCTTTGCATCGGAGGAGGCGAAGGCCCTCCCTGGCTTTCTGCTGGTTAGGAGCTGTGGATTAATGTGCACTTTGGCATCACTGACTGACTTAGTCAAGGAGGTGATGTTTCCTGGTTTTGTCTCCCACCCGTGAGCTGTGTTTTGGACTTCCCTGCCCTGCCCTCAGCTGCTCGTGAGAACTGCCTGAATTACAGCTCAGAATTACAACAGGCTGTGCGTGAGAGCTTGCATCTCCTTTGATTTCCCAGCATAAAGCCCTGCTTCCTGCATAGAAGGTGTCTGCACCCCTGGGCTCCCTGTCTGAGGACTTCAGGGGAAGTCAGGAGGCCCTTCGACGCCTCAGGCTGTATTTCTGTACCTGGTGGGAACGTCAGTTTTTCCTTTCAAGTGACGGCTCCTCTCTGCTTTAAATGCCCGTTTGGCCAAGAGGAAAAGAGATGGGGTTTATTCCCAGCCTCTAGCACTGCTCTCCCAGACTCCATCCCTAACTCTGTGTCCAGCTAGTGACCTCAAGTCGGTTCCTCTGACTCATGTGAGGCCCTTTGCACATGCGGTTTCCTCTGCCTGGAATATTCTTCCTCTGTTCTCCGGCTCTTCTTTCCTTTTTCATTAGCACTCTTTATTTTGTAAGAGCAGCTTTAGGTTCACAGAACTGAGCAGGTAGTACCCAGAGTTCCCATATACCACCCCCTCCCCCCACAAAGAGCCTCCCCCATTGTCAATACCCCTCCCCCCGCAATGGTATATTTGTCACAACTGATGAACTTATAGTGACACATCATTGTCCTCCCAAGTCCCTAGTTCACACCGGGGTTCACTCTTGGCGTACATTCTGTGGGTTTGGACAAAGTGTAATGACAAGTATCCCCTATTGCAGTATCATTCAGACCAGCTCCACTGCCCCGGGCACCCTCTGTGTTCTGCCTATGCACCCTCCCTCCTTCCCTGAACCCCCTTTTCTTTTCATGTCTAATCCATGGCCACCTCTGGTTGAGATCTCCGCTTCCTTGTCTGTGCAGGGGGAGCCCTGCCCGATAGGTCCTCCTGGCCAGGTCAGAGTCCCGAGCACCAGACCCCCGGCCACATGCACCCAGCTCCCACGTTATTTTATTTGAGCCACTCCCTGTGTGCTCTCTGTCCCTCCTCTGAGACAGTAAGCTCTCTGAGGACAGGGACCTGTCTCTTTCTCTCCAGACGTCAGGTGCGGCTATTTTCCTCAGAGTCTGTTTTGCTGCCAGGAACCACTGCTTTGATCTATAGTAGCCCCTTCCAGCCTGTGTTCTGAACCGTGCACCCAACTGCCTCGCACATCACAGGTTCACGGAACACATTTGGTGAAGAAACAGACGCTCTGTCCTTGCAGATTCCATTGCGCTCCCGAAGTCCAGGAGCCCCCAGGCCCACCCTCTCACCACACCAGGCGGCCCCCATGCCACGTGCTTCCCACCCGTCCACTAAAGCCGATGGGACGTACGGTTACTCGGCAGTAGTTTCCCACTCAGAGCGCATCTCTCAAGCCCCCAGGAAGTGTGCAGTGGCAGGTAGGGTGACGAAACTTAAAGGATGATGAGAACAAGTCCCTGTCCTCGGGGATGTGATCTGAGCTGGCGGATCCACCAGAAAGTCAATAAAAGAACCTGTTTGTAAACATTAGAGGGGACCATATGAAATGATTGTCATTGGCGGTGCACATCTGAGCTGCATTATCATAGGCCACCATGGCCATGAACTCTATCATGGGTGCTCATTTGTAGGATAGTTGATATTTGGCTATTGATAATTTCCTCCACAGAAACGGAGAGCTCCTGTGGTTCGGCCTTACACGTCCCAGTGTTTCTCTTCTTCAGTTTGGGTTGGACTCTCCATGGAGTCCACATCCGGCATGTCCTGCTCACTGGGGCTGGGGCTGGGACTCCAGGCCAATGTCTAAGTCCTGAGTCACAGGCTGAGATTTCTTTTCCCCAAGGAAAGAAATATTACACTTTTGCCCTCAAGTTCAATCATAGAACAGATTTAAAAAATATTTTTTTTATTATGAAATACGGATGGAAGCAGGAGAAAGAGCTATTATTGAGAACATGTTTATTGTTATAAAGTGACAAAAATAGGCTTGAATGTCTGGAAGATTGGGGGATCACAGAGGAGTCTAACCTTGTGTTTTCATTACGTGTTGGGTGGAATTCAGATGCCTCAGCACCCAAGCTCAGACCCCTGGTTGGCCACGTCAGTCAGCTCCCTTTCCTTCCTCACCTCCTCTCCCAAACCTGTTCTGCCTCTCTCAGTGGTTGCCTGGAAGGCTAATGTACAGTGTTTTATTATGACTTTTGACAACTTATTGAGTTCTCACTGTGTGCAACTGCCACGGTATGTGCTGTGAGGGATGCAGAGATGAAAGGGCCACAGCACCTGTCCTCATGAGCACCATTTCGGTTGGATGATTGACCTTCTTCCAGTATCTCAGGTACCAGCTGAATGCACAGACTCTGAAAGGCCTAGTCCCTTAGGACCCAGCAGGTGAATCACACCACTCTTGACCTTCAGGGTCACGAGGCCTCTTTGCTTCCCCTGAGGCTCTGATGCCGATGATGCTATTGACAATGATTGGCCAAATGCTTTGGGAGGGCAGGTTCCAAGCGTTCCACAGAAGTTATTTTCGTTAATCCTCCTGATGAGGAAACAAGCCTAGAAAGGCTGAGTAACTTCTCAAAGGCCTTACAGCTGGGAATGACAGAGCCAGAGATGAGACTGCCCCCTCCAAAGCCAGTGCACTGACATTAGAGTGCCCATCGCGGGAAGGGAGAGGGGCAAGGCGTGTGCTTCCAGAGGGAGCAAAGTCCTCGTCTAAGGAGCCGTTTCCGCTTCCCACGTGACCCGGTTTGCAGGACTGAGTCAGTCCCTGGGGAAGACAGTTGCATATGCTACTGTGCTCCGGAGCTAAGAGCTTCCTGTTTATCAGCTCTGGCAGCCCCAGTCCCGTCCGGGGTCAGTCTGCTGATGGAGCCCAGCCCTTTGAATGAACAAGCTTATCTTTGCCCTTAGCTCTCCAGTCTGTGAAATGGGAACTCTAACGTCTGCCTGCTCATCCATAATTCAGAGGGCGTCTCAGAACCATGGGTTCGGCACTCCGTCTCTCACCCATAGTGCGGTGGAGACACGTTTTCAGATGGAGGGTCGTTGGCAGCAGTGAGGGAGCATGTGGCCGTTGATTCTCCAGTGACAGCTGGGGCCCACAGGCTGTGTCAACGACATCCGGCTAGAGGATCCGTTCCATGGGTGACCATTTATTTTAATTAGACGGATTGACCTTGAGATCAGAAAACCCCGGGCATTTAAAGGTAGTGTTTCTGTCATCGCTGAAACTGCTCCCTGCATGAGCCAGTGTTGTCTCCCAACCAGCCCACCAAGGCGAGCCAGTCAGC